GAGGTCCATGTCTGTTCATGGGGTGCACTTGGCTGGTAGAGCAGTGTTGAGGGGTGCACCGCAGGGGTGCTCGATGCCGCTCACTGTCGGAGGAAAGAGTCACCCGAGTTTAACACACAGTGTCGTTAAGAAACCCGAGTGGTCCCGAAAGACCTCTATTTGGCTAATTTCCACGTAGAAGAACAATCAGGAGGTCGGGGCCTGTGCATGCCGATGCTTAGCCACGTTCCGGCGTGAAATCGCGTTGATTGCAGAGACACGGGCCTTGGGAACCAGCACACGCCGTGTGGCAGGCAGGACACGCGTGTGGCGGGCAGGACACACGTGTGTGCTCCGTGGCGTGAAAGCCGGCTCTTGGTCGGTATTTCTCCCTTCTCCCAGGCCCACGGAGGATCCCCTGCCTTTCCGCTTGGAGACCAGGCACAGCCTCGGTCCACGTGCTTCAGAGAGGAATGGGTTTGAGGCAGTGGGGGGCCCGCGGTGAACGGGGGAGTTAAATCCCATCAGCTCGGATCCTCTGTAGACAGTCTCCGCTGAGTCAATATTTAGAGAAGCGAGAGACCAGCCTGATATTGAGCCACTGCCTTGGGATTTAAATCAGCTCCATTCCAGAGAGTTCAAAACACGAGCCGGGGCTCAGCTTCCTTTTTCAACATGCGAAAACCACAGGGCGAGGAAACGCAGGTTTCTTAGCCGAACTGAACCCTCCCCTCCCCCTGGGATGGCGATGCGGTGGAGGGAGAGCCAGCGTACGGAGCACCCAGCCCCGAGTGGTGGGGCTGCCCGCCTCTCGGGCACCGTGGCTCCTGCGGACAGAGCGGGGGCTGGGGCCGCAGGGTCTGTGTCCTGCCTCCAGTTTTATGTATTTATTTTGTCCTCACCCGAGGACATCTTCGCATTTATCTTCAGATAGAGCGGGAGGGAGAGAGAGGGGAAGAGAGAGAGAGAAACATCCATGTGAGAGAGACACATTGACTGGTTGCCACCCACACAACCCCAACTGGGGCCGGGGACAAACTGCAACTGAGGTACGTGCCCTTTGTGGGAACCGAACCCGGGACTCTCCAGTCCGCAGGTTGATGCTCTGACTGCTGAGCCAAACCGGCCAGGGCGCGCCTCCAGTTTATATTGTCATTTTTCTCCTAATACGCTAACAGGAGCCATGAGGCGTGGATTCCGTTCCGCCTGTACCCTTGTCTTGAGGAATTGGGATCCTCAGCCTGGGTCCACCGTCCCTGTCCCTGTGGGGCAGACCCCCTCTCCTTCCCTTCCTCCTGGTTTTCTCACCATTGCCACCCCTCTCTCCACCCCCTCCCCCCCAGCTGCCACCTTGTCATCTTAGATGTTTCTTTTGTCCTTGGGGAATGTCCTTTTCTTGCTTATGAGCTTAGTTGTTTATCCGTCATTGGTCGGCATCTTTGCTGGGGGGTGAGGCTGGGGGGGTGGAGAGGAGGGTGGGAGTTGCCAGTTGTCAGAAATGGTTTCTTACGGAACAGGAGTGGGGGATGAGGAGTGTGGGCTCCGGGCGTGGAGCGCGGGCCCCTGCGCCTTTCCCAGCGCCCAGCGTCGCCGCGGCCGCTCCTCTGGGGAATTCCGGGCAGTCTCTGAATTCAGGAGGTTTTGCAGCGGGGACAGGGAAGAGCTGGAGCCTCCGTTTCGCCGACCTGTCACAGCACAACCGTTTTTCTCGATGAGCTCAGGGCGACCTGGAAGCTTCCACAGGCCCAGACACCCTCCACTCTCAGGGCTCGGGCAGGGCCGTCCAGTCTGGGGCTGCGTGTGCTCCGGGTGAGCCGGGCGGATTTCACTTCGCTCCTTCAGACTCCTGACCCAGGAGGTTTATCTGTCCAGCAAGAGACCCCTCGCCACCCGAGCAGCACCTTCAGGTCCCGGTCGCTGTCGAATGCAGGGAGGTGCCTCCCTTGGCTGCCCTTCGATGCCTTCCTTAGTGCCCCTCCTGTCCCCTCCCTGTTCTCACAGGTGAGGTCGATGGACCGGTCCCGTGTGGTCAAGAATCCTTTCCTCTGTCGGGGTTATCGGTGCCCCTCCTGTTCCCCTCCCTGTTCTCACAGGTGAGGTCGAGGGACCGGTCCTGTGTGGTCAAGAATGGCTTTCCTCTGTCGGGGTTATCGGTGCAGATTATACATTTAGGGGTGAATGAAACAGCCGGTGGGAGCTGGAGATACAAAGGGGGATGGGCTTATAGGAACCCTTCTCCTGAGGCGTCCTAGGGGTTCAGGGTTTGCTCGGAGGGCCTCTCGAGCCAGGGGAACGTGAGAACCAAGATACCGGGTGATAGTGGGGCACCGCGGGTGTGTCAGCTTCCTGTGGCCGCTGTATAAGTGACCGCAGGCTGAGCGACTAAAAACAACCGAAGTTCATTTGCTCACAGCTCTGGAGGCCAGACGCCCAAGATCAGTGTCACTGGACCAAAGTCAAGGTGACGCAGGGCCTGCTCCGCTGACGACTCTAGGGGACACCAGTCCTCGGCCTGTGCAGCTCCCGGTGGCGATGTGTTCCTCGGCGTAAGGCCCGTCACCCCATCTCTGCCGCCGTCCTCACCCGCTTCCCCGGGTGTTTGTGCGAAGGCTCGCTCCGCCTCTGCTGTGTGAGGACCCTTGATGGACACTGATGCTCTGGACCCACCTGGAGAGCGGGTCCGGCTCTCAGGATCCTCTCAGGATCCGGCACTTTGTCCAAATACGGTCACGTTCACATGTTCCCGGGATTGGGGCTTGAAGTCTTTGGGTGGCCGTTGTATAACCTTCTATGGGCAATTAAAGAGCTAAATAAATTGCCCTCATAATGATTGTGTGCTGTTTAAACAGGCAGATCCCATTACCGCTGGGCGTCCAGACTGTTGTTTATTCATAGTTGTGCTTTTAAGAATTTCATTGCCAAAGGGTGTAGTTTTAAAGACTGCAGCACAGACTCCATCGATGACAGACTATGCTCCTTAGCATCCTTCTTCCGCCCACCCCTGCAAGATGATGGCTGTGTGAGTGTGAGTGTGTGAATGTGTATATCAATGAGTGTGAGTGAGTATGTATAAATGTGTGTGAGAATCTGTATGAGTGCGTGTATGAGTTTGTGTGTGTAAGAGTGAGTTTGTGAGAGAGGTTGTGTGTATGAGTGGGTGTGAATGAGTGTGTATGTGTTGTGAGCATATGTGTGAGTGTGTTTGTGTGTGTATGAATGTGTGTGAGTATGGGTGAGTGTGAGAGTGTGGATGAATGAGTGTTTGTGAGTGTTTGTGTATGTGTGTATGTTTGTGTGAGTTTGTGTGAGTGTGAGTTTGTGTGTATGAGTGGGTGTGATTGAGTGGGTGTGTGTTTGTGTGGGTGTGAGTGTATGTAAGAGTGAGTTTGTGGCCCAGCCAGTGTGGCTCAGTGGTTGAGCATCAACCCTGCACCAAGAGGTCGCAGGTTTGATTCCCGGTCAGGGCACATGCCCGGGTGTGGGCCTGATCCCCATTGGGGGGCATGCAGGAGGTGGCCAACTGATGTTCTCTCTCATCTGTTTCTATCTCTCCCTCTTTCTCACAAATCAATTTTAAAAAGTGAGTTTGTGTGTGTGAGTGGGTGTGAACATGTGAGTGTATAAGTATGTAGGTGTGTGTGTATGTGAGAGTGTGTGTTTATGTGTGTATGTGTATGAGAGTGCGTGCGCGCATGTGTGAGTGTATGTATGTGCGCGCGTGCGTGCATGAGTGTGTGCGCACATGTGTGTATGTGTATATGTGTGTGTGTGTGCGCGCGTGCATGTGTGGCGAGTACGTGCGTGTGTGCACGGTCAGGAATAACTACAGTTTAAAGCTGTTATTCCAGCATCTGCTGAACGAGTTGGGGCCACACTGCAGCCGGAGTGTGACTGGCACCTGTGGGGGGACAGCTGCAGCCAGATGGGCCTGGGACTGTGCAGCCCCCAGCTCCTCTGGGCTCAGTTCAGTCTTGTCCAGGTCAAGAAAGTAGCATTTGAGTCCGTTACTGAAAACGCGTATGCCTGTATCTGCCGTTTAATGACCCCCGGTAATTGGGCTCTATCGTACCCCGTATCGATGTACTGAGTGCGTTATGAAACAGTCACGGGATCTGCCTACAGGAAGAGGGAGTGAGAGGCAGTGGAAAGCCACTGTTTCCATCCTGCACGCAGGTGGCTGGACGCCGTGGGTAAGGACGCCCCGTGGGTTGCTGAGCCTCACGTGGGCCATCTGGGCGCCAGGAGGCCAGGTCCTCGATGCCCAGCCGGGTGGTGGCCGGAGCAGAGCGGGAGGACAGGTGCGGGAGGCCGTGAGCAGGAGGCTCCCAGGGTGTCGACGACGGTCCCATCAGAGCCGAGTGAAGATGTAGAAAAGGACGGGTGTGCTTTAGGGCTCGGTGCGTGGACAGGTACTTGCCACCAGAGGAAAGAGCAGAGCTGGGACGGGGTGCAGATCTGCCTGCCCTGTGCAAGGCTGGAGAGTCCACACACGTGACACACTGAGTGTGGGGACGTGGCCCCAGAGGAGTGTCCTGTGAGTAGTGAGATGAGACCCTGGAGCAGCTGCAGGTGGGGTCCCGACATGGGGCGGAGAGAACTTTCTCAATAATTCTCCAAGGGGAACACCTGAGCCCTGGAGGCCAGGGGCAGCCCGGTGTGAGGGCTGATGCAGGGCAGAGGGAGGCTGGGGGCCCAGCTGGAGGGAGGATGGCCAGGCCCGAGGGGCAGGGAGAGGCCCTTCGCTGGGGAGAACTGGTATCTCCCCCTGTGGAGACCCAAGTTTGACACTAACCCCCCACGGAGCCTTCCAGACCATCGTTCAGGTTTGCTAAGTAAATTTCATCCTCTCCTTTAGTAATTGACTCCTTCGATCGTAGCTGATGTTACATTTTTCTTTTCCCCCGATGCTGCCTTAGATCCGGCCATGCTGGAGCAGAAGGGAGCCCTGTTTCCGAGGTCCTTGGGGAGAGTGAGGAGCAGCCCGCCTGCCGTGTCTCACCGTGTGCTCCGTGTCTCCTCAGGTGGCCATCAAAGTCATCGACAAGAAGAGAGCCAAGAAGGACACCTATGTCACCAAAAACCTTCGGCGCGAGGGGCAGATCCAGCAGATGATCCGCCACCCCAACATCACCCAGCTGCTCGATATCTTGGAGACGGAGAACAGCTACTACCTGGTCATGGAGCTGTGTCCTGGGGGCAACCTGATGCGCAAGATCTCCGAGAAGAAGCGGCTGGAGGAGGCGGAAGCCCGCAGATACATCCGGCAGCTCATCTCCGCCGTGGAGCACCTGCACCGCGCCGGGGTGGTCCACCGGTGAGGCGGCCGCTGCCCCTGCCCCTGCCCCGCGGGGGGGATCATCGCGCGTGGTTGAGGACTCGTCTGCATTTGTGTTTCAGGGAGCTGTGTTGGGAGTTGGGTTAATGCCAGGGTGAGGCTTCAAGAGGGGTGTCTGAGGACAGAGTGCCTGGCTCTGCCCTGTAGTAGTTGTGTGACCCTGCGTTAACTTGCTTCACCACTGAACCGTGGTCTCTTCTTCTGTAAAATGGGAGCAATGGTGATGCTTCTCTCGTGGTTGGTGTAAGGGTTAACATACAGAATGTAATGAATTAACGTATGGGAAAAGCTCGGAACAGTGTTTGGTACATAGTAAGGGACATGTAAATGTTGGTTGCTGTTCTTTTTTTAAATGTTCTTTATTGATCTTTTAGAGAAAGGAAGGGAGAGGGAGGGAGAGATAGAAACATCGGTGAGACAGAGAAGCATCAACATCTATGGGCTTCCCGCTGCGCACCCCCTCACTGCGGATTGAGCTCGCAACCTGGGCGTGTGCCCTGACTGGGAATCGAACCAGCGACCTCTTGGTGCAGGGTCAGTGCTCAGCCACGGAGCCACACCAGCCGGGTGGTTGCCATTCTTATTATTTGCAAAATAATGAGACCCGCTGCTCAGGGTGCTGTCACTATATTTGTGTTATTTGTGGCAGTTGCTCACTAGCTGTTTTCTTCAATTAAATTAAATCACTCTGCGAACTGTGAACTTGCCCTTGAAAGTGAGGGGTGCTCCCCGTGAGCCAAACCAAACTTGCAAATCATCATGAAAACCAAACATCTCTAAAAAAACAGCTGTGTCCGCCTGAGGAGGAGCTCCACCAGGGAGGAGATGGAAACAGCGTTCTTAGAAATGTTGCCGTTGGCCCGGCCAGTGTGGCTCAGCGGTGGAGCGTCGACCCTGCACCAAGAGGTCGCCGGTTTGATTCCCGGTCAGGGCACGTGCCCAGGTTGTAGCCCGATTCCCATTGGAGGGCATGGAGGAGGCAGCCATTCTATGTTCTCTCATCGATGTTTCCATCTCTCCCTCTCACTTCCTCTCTCTCTAAAATCAATAAAGGAAAAAAAAAAATTAAAAAAAAAAGAACATTGCTGTTGGTGGCGGGTGCCTACTTACAGTGCCATGCTGAAATTCAGTTAAACATGAAAGTGCCCTCCCTCCCGAGGGGGTGTTCACTTCACCAGTAAACACACAGTTCTTCCTTCGTGGCGTTATAATAGATGATTACTCTGAGGGTGGAGAAAACGCAGGGCTCATGGTTCATGATTCTCATTTTTTTTTATCCTCATCCGAGGACATTTTTCCATTTTTTGTACAGACAGAGTGGGAGGGAGAGAGAGGAAGAAAGAGAGAGGGAAACATCGATGTGAAAGGGACACATCGAGTGGCTGCCACCCGCACGACCAACCAGGGCCAGGGCAAACTGCAACCGAGGTACGTGCCCTTAGCAGGAACCGAACCGGGGCCTCTCCGGACCGCAGGCGGACGCTCTAACCGCTGAGCCAAACCGGCCAGGGCATGATTCTCATTTTTAAAAAAGCAAGATCGAGGCAGAAAATAGGTTGGTGTGAATCAACACATACATCTGTTTACATTTTTTTTTATTGAGATACCGTTCACATATGATAAAATTCACCATTTTTGAGTGGGTTTTCGTATATTCACAGCGTTGTGTGACACTCGCCATGGATCTGATTTTAGAATATCTTCATCACCCCAGAAAGAAACCCTGTACCCCTTAGCAGTCAGTCCTCATCCCTGCCTTCCACCAGCGCCACGCATCCGCTCCTCTGCTCTCTGTCTGTGTGGATTCGCCTGTTCTGGACGTTTCCTGTAAATGGAAACAAACAGGTGGTCTTTTGTGACCAGCTGCTTTCCCTCAGTAGCATGTCTTCAAGGTTCATCCATGTGGTAGAGTATTGGGCTTCACTCCTTTTCATGGCAGAGTAATATTCCACCACATGGCCATGCCACAGTCCGTTGAGCCATCTTCAGCTGATGGGCAGGTGGGTTGTCTCTGCCCTCTGGCTGTTGTGAATAGTGCTGCTGCAAACACTCGTGTGCTGGTTATTGTGTGAACGTAAGTTTGCACTGCTCTTGGGAATTGCTGCGTCATCCGGCAACTCTGTGTTTAGCTCTCAGAGGAAACATACAGTTTTAAAACTTCAACCTCGGATGAGGCCTTTCGTCTGTGTGGAGGCCGTTCATGGTGTGATAGTGGAGAGGGACTCTGGGAGTGGCACTGCGACGCCCCCATCATGCCCTGTCCTGGGACACTGCGTGGCGGTCCTCTGAGCCGGCCTTGACCCGGCGCCCTTCAGGCGGGCCATTCCTCACTGAGCAAGAGAACCTTCTCATGCCTTTCTCAGTCCCACACGCTGTCATGAAATCATGCGTCATTAGGACTCCTGGAGTTTAGATCAGCAGGGAAGGGAACAGCCAGAAATTCTGAGTGAAGACACTATTTCTGGCTCTTTCCAACAATGCCTGTGCAGCCTGCCGCGTCCTAGCTCTGCCGTTACTAGGAAAACAGTGGTCGCAGGTGCACCTGGTGCTGTCTGTGTTTATTAGGGTGACAAAGGAAGGAGCCCGATGAGTCAGCGTGGAACACCCACCCCACCGGTCACGCGAAGACAGAGCCGGCCGCGCCGGCCGCGGGACTCAGGGTGTCACTCGGGTTCACGCTGTCAGAAATCCCACGCGCCCAGCTGGGGAATTCGAGGACGACAGAGAAGCGGGTGACAGCTGTGGAGGGCTCTCCCGAAGGAACTTCTCCACAGCCCTCGAAAGTGATCTGAACAAAATCCACCCCCTCCATGCAATTACTGTCTGAATGCCAACGGAATGAATCGGACAATGTTTTGATTTCAAAGATGGGGCGCTTTTCTGGCTTTTAAATTGGACAACGTTTTGATCTCAAAGATGGGGCGCTTTTCTGGCTTTTAAATTGGACAACGTTTTGATCTCAAAGATGGGGCGCTTTTCTGGCTCTTGAATTGGACAATGTTTTGATCTCAAAGATGGGGCGCTTTTCTGGCTCTTGAATTGGACGATGTTTTGGTCTCAAAGATGGGGTGCTTTTCTGGCTCTTGAATTGGACGATGTTTTGGTCTCAAAGATGGGGTGCTTTTCTGGCTCTTGAATTGGACGATGTTTTGATCTCAAAGATGGGGTGCTTTTCTGGCTCTTGAATTGGACGATGTTTTGGTCTCAAAGATGGGGTGCTTTTCTGGCTCTTGAATTGGACGATGTTTTGGTCTCAAAGATGGGGTGCTTTTCTGGCTCTTGAATTGGACGATGTTTTGGTCTCAAAGATGGGGCGCTTTTCTGGCTCTGCTGTGCATCCGGCTGCTGCCTCTCTCGCCGGAAATACGTCCCCGAGCCGATGACGGCCGAGGCGCTGGTCTCCGGAAGTCAGGGGCGGTCGGAAATGCAGAAATCGTGGAAGGAAGCTCGTTTCTCTGTCTGGAGACCGTGCTCAGGGCGTCGGCACCGGCCGCCGGGGGTCGTCAGGTGGCTGAGACCCGCACGGGGGTTTTGAGCTCACGTGAGCTGGCTCACTGCCGGTCTGGCGTGTACTGTTCTCTCTTCACGGGGGAGAATTTGCACCTTGATGCTGCAAAGGCAGAGTGACTTTCTGAAGTGAGTTTGAGGTTAAGATTTCTCAGATGAAGCGGAGGTGTCCTGGGGTCACTCCCGGGAAGATTTCTGAGCACGCGGATCGGATCATCCGAGAGGCTTCGGGGGCAGTTTGGGGCCACGTTGTGTGGTTTAGGGGCTGTGGGTCCGTGTGTCCTCGAGGCACCGCGCCCGTTAGGCTGATGCTGCTGCGTCATCCTCAGCGCCACACGCGGGGGGGCCCTTTCCTGGGACAGTCAGTCCGTGTACTTCATTTTCTACCCAGAACTGTTTCAGTGTGATTTAAAGGCCAGTCTTTAAAAATCATGTAAATATGTATAAAAAAGGAAACATAACCTCGTGCAGCGGACCCTACGCCGGCAGGAACCTCCGCGCGGGGCCGTGTGGTCGTGTGTCTCGGCTGCAGCGGGGTCGCCGTGACCGGTGCCGCAGCACAGTGTGGTCTGAACCTCTCCGTGTCCGGATTGCCTGAACACCCCGGGTTTAAGCTCAGACGAGCTTCCTTTCCCGTCTCCCCAAACCTGCTCACCCGGCAGGACGCGGAAACCCGATGCTAGGTCTGTTGTACGCGACTCTTCACATTCACCATTAGGGCCCTTGCTCTGCTGATGTGAGCGTCACCTGTGGGCTGTTCAAGCCGACCAGGTCCAGTCACGCTGTGCAGACAGAACAGGACCGGGCAGCACGGTGCCGCGTCCCTACGCAGGAAGAGACAAGCCAGGGGGCTGCCCCGGAGAGGGACACATGATCCCGGGGGCTGGAAGCTGTGCCTGGGGCGTGACCTCCCTTGTTCGTGACGGTGCGAAAGGGCCTGTGTGCCAGGGAGGAACGCAGGGGGAGAGGGGCCTTCTGACGGGGAGCAGCCGCAACCTGCACCCCTCTGGTATTGAGAAGTTCTTTGAACTTGTGAGTTTTCTTGGCGAGGGGAGGGCAGGGCAGACAGATGTGAGGGGCGTCTGCGCTCCCAGGCCGTCTGCTGAGGGTGCACACCTGTCTGGAGGTGCTGGTGGCAGAGACCCAAGGTCGTGTGGGTCCCTGGGTTTTTAGCACAATGGGAATGAGAGGCTTTGCCGAGCCCTCGTGGGCAGCTGTGCGGGCTGGGGTGCACCGTGGTCATGGCGTTGACCCCGAGGCCAGCCTGCCTGCACCCACATGTTGGCATGCCGCTTAGATGCTGCACCCTGCAAATCTCTCAGGCTTCTGGGCCTCTTTTCCCGTCTGCACAGTAGAAATCGGGGGTTACCCACTTCATGTGGCTGTCGGGAGGATTCGAGGGGTCAGTTCATGCCGTGTGCTTAACACTGAGACACTTGGTACCGACAGCAGGTGCTCACGTAACATTGTCG